TCACCTCAGTATATAAACGCACTTGGATAAACATTTGTACCAGAGTGGCGCTTAGACCGTGCCTAGCCTGGGAAAATTTTTGAATTTTTAATCCAAAATTACAAAAACATTTTATGGAAAATAAAAAAAATATGTAATAATTTTTTATCCTCAAAAGCAATTGTTTTGTCAATACAAGCAAAAAGTTTTTTAGATCATTCAAATCGGACGCTTAGCTCACTCTAAAACTGCAATTTTTGCACATTTTGCTTGGTATATGTATACCGAAACGGCTGGATCTGCCTTTCCAAAAAACTAATCAGCACATCTCCCGAACATTACGAATTAAATGTTTTTTGAATCATTCAAGTCCGATGCTCCGATCTCTCAAAAACTCGATTTGTATTTTCTGCACTCTTTGCACCGTATCTCCGTAACGGCTGGACCTGCCTTTGCCAAAAACTAATCAGCACATCTCCCCATCAATACGAATCGAATGTTTTTCGAATCATTCAAATCATATTCTTTATTCTCTCAAAAACTTAATTTCTAATTTCTGCACATTTTGCTCTGTGTCTCCTAAACGGCTGGACCTGCCTGTGCCAAAAATTAATCAGCACATCTCCCCATCAATAAGAATCGAATGTTATTTGAAATATTCAAATCGGTTAAAATCGTTTTTACACATAAACTGCAACGTCACTCGCATGTTATGAAGCTGGGTCAGAAAGACCCTGTTATCTAACATCGTTTTTTTGATATTTGTGCGATTTCTAGGCTAGGCTTTCTATGAGACAACTGGACAAATACTGTCATTTGTACCAAACGATTCAGAATGATCAGAAAATAGAGAAAAATAGAGGAATTTTTCTAAAAAATGAATATAACCTGAACTTAATATTGTGCCAAAAAAAATACGATGACAAATTTTACCTTCTGACACAGTCATATAAATTATTCAAAGTTTTGAAATCAATATTGACCATAGATCATATAATTTAGTTTAGTAATTTTTGATATCTTATTTGAGATCTAGAATCTTAAGTAAGAAACTGATGTCACTACTGCTTGATATCAAGTTGTCAAAAATGGGCTCCGAAGGCATACAAATAATTCAACATTTCGGAAGCAATATTGACCATAACAAATATATTTGATATATTTCTAAGAGTGTTTAATAATTTTGAATATCGAATTTGAGATCTAGAATCTCTAGTAAGAATCTTATAGTAAAAATCTGCTCGAATTCCTACTGCTTGACATCAAGTTGTACAAAAATCTCGAAACCAGTGGTCACCCTCATCCTAATCCATCATCCTTTACCATATCACCCTTATCACAAATTTCCGGAATAATTTTCATCCCTCCAGCAAACGCATTATAAAATATAAGTCTAAATAATTTCGTAAACATTAACCATCCGAGAAACCATGGCGCATGCGCGGATAACGGACACACGTCGATCTCTCTTCATCTCTTTCTTTACTCTCGAAATTCGTTATCGTTGTTTCTCTTTATCGTCGGACGTACGTCTGGGTTTCGTGGCGCATTGCGCAGTATTATCGAAGACGAGGGACAGTTTGATTTTGGACGTCGAAGGCGATGGACTTCGTCGGGTAATAATAATAAATAATAGTTAAACGATATTAGATAATAGAAATGTGTGGTTTTGGTGGTTAAATGTAGGTGGTTATGTGTGGTACGTGATATGGTTTAAGGTAAGTTTGGTTGTTTTGTATTGGTTTGGGTTGAATCCGTTTTTTTTCACGTGCACTGTTTACATCCAGGGAAATAATTGTAAAATAATTTTTTATAAATTTTGTTGTATCCGATATAAGTTTCTGTATTATATTCTTCAATGTTGATACTATTGGTTAACAAATTTTAAAGTTTTTATATGACTTGGTGCCAAAAGACAAAATTTACCCACGTGGTTGTATGGCGTCCACTTGCACAATTTTAGGTGTAGGTTATATTTGCAAAAGTCCTGTAAATAAGATATTGAGATTAGTAATAGGATTTTACTAGGATATTGAGTTTAATAATCTTATATTTTCTGGTCATTTTGAATGGTTTGGTACAAAAATTGTGTGGCCCCCTTGTATGACGAAAGTATTAGACTTTCGTCGATTTGAAGTCCTTTTCTTTCTAACCGATTTAAAAAGATTTAAGTCAACTGAATATTTTTAGTACAAAACCATGTATCATAAATACTTGGATATTTTAACAATTTTTGAGTATTGTTAAAATTGTATAAAATAAAAAAATTACAAAATAAAATTTTCTTTTAATGGTTTTTAATTGCTCTCTTACCGTTTTTTTTTCTTTAAAAATAGTCCATTTTCTCCAAAATTGCTATGATTTTTTTAGCTGTATTAAAAAAAATTAAGTCAATTCTTAAAATTCAGCTTTGTTTATTTTTTTATAAAGTGCATACCTCACCAAAATTACCAAAATTAAATTACCAAAAATTAAATTAAATACCAAAAATTATTATAAAGTATATTATTTTTGTAAAACCTTTGATGTGTTTTTTTGCACTTTTTTACGAGTGATTTCAAACGAAAATTCGTTGAACTGTATTTTGTTAATACGAGTCAGTTATCTCAAAATGATCTCGTAAAAATGATCCCGATTGTTGTCAAGAATCTTATGCAACTTACCATAAGGGTACTTCAGTACTTCTTAAAATCATGTAGGGTAAATTATAGTGATCATCTAAAAATTTTTGTATATCTTTACGTTTTACAGGTTTCTGAACATTTTGCTATACCTTAGAAAAAAGTAGATGTAACTTTTCGCCGACGTTTTTGGGAGAACACCTCAACCGATTTGAATAATTCAAAAAACATTCGATTTGTGTTGATGGGGAGACATGCTAATTCCTTTTTGACAAAGCCAAGTCCAACCGTTTCGGAGATCCAAGAAAAAAAGTTACAAAAATGCTATTTGGAAATCATATATTTTAACAGTATTTGTTAACTGACTTAAATTGATATAAAAACTTTCAAGAAATTTTAGAATATTCAAAGTCTTCAAAATGTCCAGTTTTCAGAAAAAATCATAACTCTTAAAAAAGTTAATATTTTATTAAAAAAATTCAAAATTTTCACAAAAGTTCAAAAAAGTTCTCAGAAGAAAGCAATTTTTTACATTTTTTTCAAAAATACTCAAATTTTTCAGGTCTGGTCAGAATTTTCACAAAAAGGTGAAGAAAGAAAGAATATTATTCAAATTATTTTCAAAATTTTGCCAAATATTCAAAAAAACACAAATTTCTCACAAAAATTTTAAAAGTCAATATTTTTTTTATTTTTACAATAATATTTAAACTTTTCAAATTTTTAAGAGTTTCATGATTTACAAAAAAGCCTTTTCTTTTTCTAAAATTTCAAAAAGTCGATTTTTCTCAAAAATTACTAGTACATTTAGAAATAATAAAATTTTCTTTCTAAATATGTGATTATTACAATTTAAAAAGCAATTTTAAATATGATTTTATCTTAAGTTTTTAATAAAATTTAAATAATTATTTTTTCAAACTATTATATTATTATTTTATCAAATTGCAAAAGCAAATTGTTCAAAAAAATTATATAATTATTAGTTATGTTACATCGATAGAATGTATTTTCGGTTAATTATTTGCACGCAATTCAAATAATTTTAGTAAATTGTTACAAGGTTAAAATGCAAAAATAAACATCGGGCATTTGTTACATAAAATAGTTATAGGTAACTATTATATATATATATATATATATATATATATAAACTACATATTTTAACATAAAACGTATAATGACATGTTTATATTTTTAAACTTTGGATATAACAACCAATTTAACTAGCTGTAAGTGGAATTCTGTCTTGAGGCAATTATGGCATCGTGCCTTAAGGCAAATTGCTGGAACTTCCCATACCGTAACGAAATGTTCGTGGAATACTGAATGTTTTCAAATAGATTATTATAAATATTGTAAAATTGTCTAATATTTATAAGAATTATATAAACTGAATTGCAGAGTTGAAATTATTTGTAAAGTATATATTAGTACTATAGTCAGAATTAAAAATAAAATCTGAAATATTTTCGATATACAAAAAACTAAAAAAAAAAAAAAAAAAAAATGGAACAAAATTTTTTTTCCAAAATCAATTATTTCGTTAAGACAAGCAGAAAGTTCTTTGAATCATTTAAATCGGACGCTTAGTTCTCTCAAAAATTGCCATTTTTTACATATTTAGCTCCGTATCTTCAAAATGGCTGGGCCTGCCTTTGCCAAAAACTAATAAACACTTCTCCCAATCATTACTAATTGAATGTTTTTTAGAACATTCAAATCGGATACTCCGTTCTCTCAAAAATTCGATCTCTATTTTATGCACTCTTTGCTCCGTATCTCCGAAACGGCTGGACCTGCCTTTGCCAAAAACTAATCAGCTCTTTTCCCTATCAATAGGAATCGAATGTTTTTTGAACCATTCAAATCGGTTAATCCGTACGCCCGAAAACGTGGGCGAAAATTTGTATTCATACATACATACACACTCACACACACACACACACACACATCATTTTTTCTGAGGTATGCCAAAACGTTCAGAAACCTTCAAAACGTCGAGAAATGTAAAAATTTTCAATTCCGATTTTTGGCCCATTACAATAACTTACCCTTACGGGAAGTTAAAAATGGAAAAAGTGTCCTTTTTTGTACTTTGCTCAAATTTATACAGTCTTCGAACGTTTGAATGCAATTTATATGAAAATTATTATGTTACCGAGATTCTATTACCAAATTATTTATTTCCAGGTGTTTAAGGTGTTAAAAACAAATGTAAACAACAAAACCTAAACCCAAACAAAAACTCTTCGAGTGCAGTGAATAACGGCATCATCAAAAAAATGCCATCGGAAACAAAATTTTTATTTATTTTAACGTGCAAGTTAAAAATTTTTTTGTGAAAATAAATGTGTAATAATTAACAATTATGAATTTAATAATTAAAACAAATTCGTTGAAATTAAGTGAAGTTGACTTGAAGTGATTTGATTGATGATGGTGATGAAGATGATGAGGAAGGACTTTGTTTGCTGCTGGAGATAAATTGGAGACAAAAGTAAGTGGATAATTTTAAAAAGTTATAAGGGACAAATTTTGCCAATTATGGTACTTAATCATACTGAATATTATCAAAATGCCATGTATTTGCTGTGCATTCAGGCGTTTTACACGTAAACTGCAACGTCATTCGTGTGTTATGAAGCTGAGTCAGAAAAACCCTGTTATCTAAGATCGTTTGCGCGGTTTATAGCTTAGATTTTCTGACAACCTGAGAAATACGCCTGACTGCACAGCAACCGCAAGGCTTTGTCAATTTTAGTATCAAAAATTCTTCATAACATTGCCTTGCCATAATGTTTCACATTTTGTTATTACTATTTCCAAATACACCTTTTAATTTATTTTCACAAGATCTCCTTAAATTTATTATTTTTGTGTTTAGATTATAGCAAAATATTTATTAACACAACGGTTGCCAAAATCTAAACAGAATTTTGGCAAAGCCTCAATTGCCCACTTAGAAGCAAATTAAATTCGAGAACACGTTTTATAAAATGTTTATGAATGTCATCTAATTATAACTTTTCGAAGAATTTTTGTTTTGGGAATAATGGGAAATAAAATCGGTACAGTTATATAATAAATGCTTAAAGTTATATTTTGTTTATTTTTATTCTAAATAAAATTTTGGTTTGGATTTAATATAATAAAAACATTTGCATAATGAGTTCTTTTCCAAACACCTTATTAAATTTTTGTACCAAGCTGTTCAGAATGACTTGAATCGTCGAGAAAACATAAAATTGGTAAAAACGACCTTTTCTTTTTTTTGAACACTTTTTTTTAATGTAAACTTACATAAACGTTGTCCTACAATTTATAAGCTCTCATATTTCGTATATAAAATAAGAATAATGAAAGTTACAGAATTTACAATGATCCATTTGAATACATTTAAAATTCCTCGACGGGAAGTACCAGCAATTAGCCTTAAGGCACGATGCCACACACCACTAGTTTCATATAGTCATAGCCTAAACAATAGATATTCCAAATTATATTGTTTTTGATCCAAAAATTTTAATTTAGATAGCAAATTTTTACTGTTTTATACCTATGACGAATATACACGTCAATACACAAATTTATGGCGTACCAACACGAACACACACGCCAACAAACTTCTGTCACATTTTCATGATGATTATACACGTCAACACAAACAAACCTCGTCACTTTTTCTGTTTTTTTTATTTTAAATTAAATAGCAAATTTTTACTGTTTTATACCTATGACGAATATACAGGTCAATACACAAATTTATGACACTTCATGACGAACATACATGCTAGCATACAAAATGCTTCAGCCTTTTCATAAGGAACGTACATAAAATTCTGCCACTTATGACAAATATACACGTCAACATACAAATTTCTGTCAATTGCTCATGACGAATATACACGTCAACGCAAACAAATTTTGTCACTTTTCCATGATGTGTATATTTGTTTTTTATTTTAATTTAAATAGCAAATCTTTACTGTTTCATACCTATGACAAATATACATGTCAATACAGAAATATATGATACTTTATGAAGAACATGCACGTCAAATACAAAATTCTGCAACTTTCTCATGACGAACATATAAGTCAATACAAAAAAAAATCGCTTTTTCGAACAAATATACAAAAAATTGTCACTTCTTGACGAATATACACGTCAACATACAAAAATTCTGACACTTTTTCATAACGAATATACATAAAAAAAATCTTCCAATTTTTCAAACGAATATATACAAAGTTTTGCGACGTTTTCATGATGAATATACACGTCAACACAAAAAAAATTGCCGCTTTTTCATAATGAATATACACAAAAATCTGCCTCTTCTTTATAACGAATATACACAAAATTCTGTCATCTTTTCACGACGAATATACACGTCAAAATACCAAAATTTTGCTAATTATTCATAATGAATATTCGCAAATGACGAATATACACGTCAACATAAAAAATTCTGCCACATTTTTATAAATAGACATAAAATTCTGTCACCTAATGACGAATATACACGCCAAAACAACAAAATTCTGTGACTTTTTTTTCATAGCGATTAGACATAAAATTCTATCACATAATGACGAATATACACGTCGACATACAAAATTCTGCCACTTTTCATAATGAATATAAACAAATTTCTGACACTTTTTCATGATGGATATACACGTCAACATACAAAGATTCTACCACATTTTCATAACAAATATACTTAAAATTCAGACACTTTAATGACGAATATACACGTCAACACAACAAAATTGCCACTTTTTATAAAGAATATATACAAAGTTCTGCCGCTTTGTCATGGCGAATGTACACGTCAACACAAACAAAATTCTGCTGCTTTTTAATAAAGAATATACATAAAATTAATGTCACTTTCTCATGACAAATATACACGTCAACACAACAAAATTCTGCCACTTTTTATAACGAATATATAAAAAATTTTGTCATATCATGACAAATATACACGTCAGCAAACAAATTTCTGCCTAACGAACACACAAAAAATTCTGCTACTTTCTCATGACGAATATACACGTCAACATGCAAAAATTCTGCCACTTTCTTATGGCGAATTTCCATAAAATTCGGTCAATTTTTCATGACCAATATGCATAGAATTCTGCCACTTTCTCATGACGAATATACACGTCAAAACAACAAAATTCTGTGGTTTTTTCATAACGAATATACTTAAAATTCTGCCACTTTTTCATCATAAATATACACAAAATTTGGATACTTTCTCATGACGATTATATACGTCAACACAAGCAAATATACACGTTAACATACAAAAATTTGCCACTTTTTCATAACGAATATACATAAAATTCTGCCACTTTTTATAACGAATATACACAAAATTTGGTTACTTGTTTATGACGGATATACACGTCAACCAAAAAACTCACTTTATTCATAACAATAATACTCAAAATTCTGACACTTTTTCAAACGAATATACATAAAATTCTGCCACTTTCTCCTGACGAATATACACGTCAACACAATAAATTGACATTTTTCTATGACGTGTATATTTGCCAATCACAATTGAGAGTACCAATAAAGATTTATGCTATCAAAATATCAAATATATATTTATACCCTCTGCCACTATAAAATCAAATTCACCATCGTTGATGATGACCGCTGGTGTTATAATTTGACACTAAATATTCTCAATTCGATAGACGTAATAATAATAATAATAATGTGAGTTGTATTCGATAATAATTCATAGCATCAGAATCTAAATTTATCATCGAAACTAAACTATAGTTACAGTTGTAGTTTAATGGGCTCTAGGCTACAATATAGCCTATATAGAGCTAGATGGAGAGAGAGTTGGGAGCGATTGGGAAGGAGGAGAGTTAGCCCAAAGTGGGCTATTTATTGATTTTATATAGCATATGCTTCCGTTGTGTGTTCTATATAGAAAATGTATTACGATGGCGATTTATGTTACGGCCACTGAGACTAACACAACGACGGTGTATATACTAGCTGACCCGAAAAAGACTGTTTTAGAAAAATTTTAGACTAACTAATTCTAAATGCTAACACAAATGAATTTGATGGTTTACTGAAAACCATCTAAAAAGGATGTCACATATGAATCTTAACGCTTTTGCCAATTTATTAACTTCCCGTAGGGCAAGTTATAGTAATCGCAAAAAAATCGAAAATGAAAAATTTTTATATATCTTTACGTTTCAAAGGTTTCTGAACATTTTGGCATACCTTAGAAAAAATGGATGTATGTGTGTGTGTGTGTGTGTGTGTGTGTGTATGTATGTATGTATGTATGTATGTATGTATGCGCGTGTGTGTATGTATGTGGGGATACAAATTTTCGTCGACGATTTCGGGAACACGGATCAACCGATTTGATTAATTCAAAAAACATTCGATTCGTATTGATAAGGAGACGTGCTGATTAGTTTTTGGCGAAGGCAGGTCTAGCCGTTCCGAAGATACGGGGCAAAAAGTTCCGAAAACGGTAACTCAGTTTTTAAGAGAACGGAGCATCCGATTTGAATAATTCAAAAAACATTTCACTTGTATTGACGAGATGAAGAATCGATAAAATTTTCATGAAGGTAGGTCTAGCGGTTTCGGAGATATGGAGGAAAAAGTAAAAAAATGAGCCATTTGGCGGTCAAAAATGATCATTAGACATATGCACATCAAATTATCAGATATTTTATAGAGATTTTAACAATAAGTATACATTTTGTTAACATTCCTATGGGTTCCGTACCAATGCTTATGCGTTAGACAGCGACGCGGCGCTTACGCGCTTTATATTTTATCCCTATGCAGTTAAAGCAGTACGATTGCTTTTAAAAAAAAGTTCAGATCTTCCACAATATGTCAAAATAAAGAAAAAAAATTATTTTTTTAAAAAAAAAATTTCAAAAAAAAGTAATTTTTTGTCCAATCTATAATTTCTCAAAAATCTTATTTTTTCAAAGTATTTTTTTTTCAAAAATGTTAAACGTTTTTAAAAAAATAATAATTTTTGGTACGGGAAGTTCCAGCAATTTGCCTTAAGGCACGATGCCTTAATTGCCTTAAGACAGAATTCCACTTACAGCTAGTTTGCACCAGGTTATCATTTAGACTGTGCTTAGTCTGGGTAATTTTTTGAATTTCAACACCAAAATTACATTTCTCAATTTAGATGAAAATTGGAAAAGTGCTCCAGTACAAGTACAGTCTAAACGCACTTGCGAGAACATTTGTACCAGGTTGTCACTTAGACTGTACTTAGTCCGGGTAATTTTTTGACTTTTTAACCCTATAGTATTTCTATAATTTATAAGCGAAAATTGAAACTATTATCCAAATCATTTATGGTATTAAAAAAAATTTTTTTTTGGTAATTTAGAAAAAATTTGAAATTTTTAAATAAAAAAAATTTCTGTCCCAAAATTCTGTTCTAGTCGTTTCTTGTTACTGTCAAT